TTGTCAGCCAGCAGAACTGCCAGCTGCATTTTTGGGTTCCCCAGTGGGACAGGAGAGCCCAAGAAAACCTTGGAAGGCAGCAAGAGGGGTGGGGGAGTCCCTTCATGCTTTTTGTAAAAGCTATCCAGTGGCTAATTTAGCGGCTAGAATTGTTGTTACATGAAAGCTGACCGCCGCCAGCTGAAAAAAACAATACCAGGATGATGCCTGTAGCTGCAGACATCATCTCCGTAGAACCGCTCAAAGTCCAGCGACATACCAGTACGTTGCTGGTCCATGGGCATATGATGAATCAGGTCTGTGGACCAATATGACTGCAATTCATTCTTTTTTGTAATGTCCATGTTGAGGGTTAGGCCCAATAAGTTTTAAATTTGGAAGCTGTGATAGGGTTCCATGCAAATTGTCCAGCAAGAGGTGAATTTGGGTGGGTGGCCATGTATTGTTGTGCTTATAAATTGCTTTGGCCCACAATCAACTGATACAAATCTTCTGTGAAAAACAGCAGAGGGGCTAAACGCTAGTGCTGGCAGCGAACATGGCTGATGCTGCTAACTCTGTATTTTTGGGGACACTATACAAAGGAGGCAATAGTATAGTCAGGGATGTTCCATTTGTAACGCCCGGGACATGTAGTTTTTTTTTTAACCTTTAACCCTGCTGCAGGGTCTCTCCAGAGATGTTCAATAGGGTTCAAGTTAGTTCTCTGGCTGGGCCACTCTAGGACATTTACAGAATTGTCCATAATCCACTCCTATGTGTTGTCTTGGCTGTGTGCTTAGGATCATTGTTTTGTTGTAAAATGAACCTTTGGCCCAGTCTGAGGTCCTGAGTGCTGTGGACCAGGTTTTCATTGAGGGTACATGGCCCAAATTTAGATTTTCCTCAACCAAGAACTGTCTCCTAGTCCCTTCTGCTGGAAAACACCCCAACAGCATAATTGCTGCCACCACCATGTTTCACTGTTGGGATGGTATTGGGCAGGTGATGACAGGTGCCTGGTGTTCTCCAGACATATGTTTAAAATTGAGGCAAAACAGTTTAATCTTTGTTTCATCAGACCAGAGAATCTTGTTTCTCACAGTCTGACAGTCCTTCAGGTGCTTTTTGCAAACGCCAAGTGAGCTTTCATGTGTTTTACAATGAGGAGAATCTTCCGTCTAGCCACTCTGCCATAGAGCCCAGATCGGTGGAAGGGTACAGTGATGGTTGTCCTTCAGGAACTTTGTCCCATCTCAACATAGGATCTCTGGAGCTTAGTCAGAGAGACCATCAGGTTCTCAGTCACCTCTCTTACTAAGTGGTGCCAATCTTGTTCTATTTGAGAATTATGGAGACCACTGTGCTCTTGGGAACCCTCGGTGCAGCAGAATTTTTTTTGTTGCCTTCCCCAGATCTGTGCCTTACAATAATCCTGTCTCTGAGCTCTGTGGGCAGTTGACCTCATGGCTTTTGCTCTGATATAATATGCATTGCCAGCTGTGGGGCCTTTTATAGAGAGGTGTGTGCCTTTCCAAGTTATGTTCAATCAATTTAATTTACCACAGATGGACTCCAGTCATGGTGCAGAAACATCTCAACAATGATCAAGAGAAATGGGAGGCACCTGAGCTAAATTTCAAGTGTTGTTGCAAAGGGTATTACTACTTATGTCAACGTGATATTTCAGTTTTTTGTTTTTAATAAATTCATAGACATTTCTAAAATTCTGTTTTCACTTTGTCATGGGTACTGACTGTAGATTAATGAGAAAAAAAATTAGTTTAACCACTTGATGACCACCCCATAGCAGATGTACTGCTACAGGGCAGCTGCGCTGTGCAAAATCACGTAAATATACATGATTTCACATTTCTGGGTAGGGGGTTGCACTATAATTGGTTCCTTAGGGTGTCAATTACCGGGTCCTGGCCAGCTATTCCCTGTCTGGACTCGGTGATCATTGGGGAAGCTGAGAGGGGAGAGATCTGTATATAAACAACACAGATCTCTATCATGTCAGTATGGAGTGCTGCTTTCTATCTCTTTGCATCAGCAGGTCTCCCTAGATAAACAGCACACACTTCACAGTAAAACACACACGCACACTTAACCCTTTGATCGCCCCAGATGGTATCCCCTTCCTGCCCAGTGTCATTAGTACAGTGTCAGTGCTTTTTATTAGCCCTGATCACTGTAGATGTCAGTGGCAGTTAGTTACCATCGCTATAAGTCGCTGATCGCCACCATTACTAGTATAAAATAAATAAAAATTCCAGTATATATACTATTTGTAGATGCTATAACTTTCACGTAAACCAATTTAATATACACTCAGTGTGATTTTATTTTTTTATTGGACATGTTTTATAGGAAAAAGTAAAAAAAAAAGTTAAAAAAATAAATAAATATATATATATATATATATATATATATATATATATATATATATATATAATTTTCAGTCTTTTTTTGTTTATAGCGCAAAAAATAAAAACCGCAGAGGTGATCCATCAAAAGAAAGCTCTGTTTATGGGAAGAAAATGACATAAATTTCATTTTTGTACAGTATTGCATGAGCGTGCAATTGTCAGATAAAGTAACACAATGCCGTATCGCAAAAAAAATGGCCTGGTCAGGAAGAGGGATAAATCTTCCGGAGGGCAAATGGTTAAACAACTATATCAGGGTGCAACATAAGAAACATTTAAAAAAAGCAAAGGGGCTCTGAATACTTTATGAATGTGTATGAGGCCATACGCTGTGATAACTCCGGGTCGGGCATCTCATCCTTGGCAACCCCAAAGTGTTGTCACCTTATAACAGGAAGTTCCTGAACAAGGGCCTCCATGGCAGGATCAACAGGTATTATTTCAATAACTGCAGATTTGAAAATTACAATAACACTTTAACACTTAAATTATATTTTAGTGAATAGGTTCACTTGTACTTTAATATTTCTGACAAGTAAGTGACATCCTATTTGAGCAGCATATCTTTGTAACTTGCCTGATCAATGGACAATCATTGGCATGATAAAATCAAATGACTGGAAGCTGCAAATCTGAAATAGGAAATCATTTTACTTGCTTTGAAAATGTGGGAATCACAAGACTTTACTGCACATAATTACAAATCCTTTGTCCGTTAATCGGATTCATAAACTATCTGAATATTTAGCCATTTCCCTGGTGTTTCACTTTAGATGTGATGCAGAAATGCTGAGTCCACTTTTTGCCCAGCCAGAATTGTCCTTCAGAATTGTATTCACTGACTTGATGCATTGCAGCCACTGCAGAGCAGCACACCTTCCTGCCGTAACTTGTCTTAGAAACAGCTGCCTCCCATTTATACCAGTCCAGTCTTTTTTCCATGATATAGTACAGTATTCACATCCTGTGGATTAAAAGCACATCACTGCAAACAGATTCATCGGAGCATATGCTTTCTCTGCATTATCACAGTGTTGCTGGCAAAGCTGCAACTGCTATTTTTAGTTAGCTCAATTGTGCCCTTTAGATTTCCTCCTCTTCTAAGTAGGAGGATACATTTAAGGTCTGTAATGTAAGGATAATTATTGAACATTTTATAGCCTTCCAGATTTTTGATGAATCGCTTAGACGTTAAGCAAAGGCTGACATAATTGGATACCATCACTTCTTTATTAAATGTATTTATTGAATTTAAAGGAAGCCCGTATGTAGGCTGCCATTCATGACCTCTTGCTTTGAAAATGAGAGTTGCTTGACTGTCATGTTGAATCAGTGGTTTTAAAGCAACCTGCACTAGATCAAACCATTGTTTATTAAGTACTCCCCTGCAAAGGAACAAATGGTACTTATCTGTCCCACTGCCTGTTCCCCAGATCTTCACTCTTTTGAAGAGCTAAGCTTGCTGAAGATTTTTTTGATAGCCTGCCCTAAAAAGAGAAAAAAAAAGTGATCATGAACTACTTGCCCACTCAAGCACTGTCCTTGTCTCTTCTTCTGACCTGTGGTTCCAGACACTTGCAAGTTAAATGATGGCCACCATCATTCAGCCCACTTCCTGTGAGCCCATCCGGTCATACACATATCCTTGGTTCATCACCACACAGCCTTGGCTCACAGTACTCCTGGACTGAGAAGTTCACATGTCATTATGTTAGTACTGCTCAGTCCAAGATTAAGGACTGCCCATGGCTGCTATGAGGAAGAACCGTTGACATCACTGAACTGGCCTAAAAGTTGCAAGAAGTAGGGTATGTGTAGGGTTTTTTGTTCTTTGTTTCTTAAAGAAAAAAAAAAAAATCAGAATGGGGCTTTGAGAGGGCAGAGTTCCGCTTTTATGAGAGTGCTTCTATAGCTTGATGATAATTTTGTTAACGTGGCGTACTAGAATATTGGTCTTTGTGCCACATGATGCCAGACTGACTCTCTGTGATTGCATGCATTTGGCTGTAATAGGTCCTGTCATGTCATTAAATGTACAGAGCAGTGGTCTCCAAACTGTGGGACACCATTCCTTCAACAGACACCAACAACAGGGCAATAGGTCCTGCACTGACACCTGTGATGGGGTACTATTCCTTCCACTGCCACCAATCATGGGGTACTCTTCCTTCTACTGAGACCAGTGATGGGGCACACCTCCTTCCACTGACGCCAGTGATGGGACACTCCTCCTTCCACTGACACCAGTGATGGGGCACTCCTCCTTCCACTGACACCAACGATGGGGCACTGTTCCTCCCCCTAATACTAAAAATGGAACATTGTTTACTTCTACTGATGCTAGGACACTTTTTACTCCTACTGGCCACAGTTCTGTCCCTCCTAAATTCTGAACAACAGTAAATCATCCCTTTGTTTAGAAAGTTTGGAGACCCCTGCTATAGAGGGAAGGGGGAGGCGAATTTTACTGTCTATATTATAAATGGGCTTTTGCTTGTTCTGGTACCTTTTCTGTGTAAAGCAAAATATGTTTCTAACATTTTTCTATTACTTTACAGTTTTGATTATAACAGGAAAATCTTTCTGAGAATGGATATGGGCAACCAACATGCTTCGATCACAGCGCTTCAAGAGATCCAACGGAAAGTCAAAGACCTTGAGCAAAGCGTGGCTACCTTCAGTGGGTTACAGAGTGACCCAGAGTATAAAAAACTGGAAAAAGCCCTAACCAAGCAGCTCTTTGAAATTGAGTCTATTGATACAGAAGGGAAGGGCAATATTTTACAGGCCCGTAAAAGAGCCATAGAAGAAGTTGAGAGGCTTCTCAAGGAATTGGAACAGAATGCAAACCACCCCTGCCGATTGGAGATTGAGAAGATATTTAAGGAGGCACAATGTCTTGTAGCCCAGCAAATAGCCCCTATGTATGGAGGGAGAAGATGTATCACAGAAGAATTTGAAGAAGGTATTCAGAATATCTTAATGAGACTTACACAGGTCAAAACAGAAGGCAAAGCCTCCCTAAGAAAAGCCCGATATCGCACCCTTACTAAAGTTCTTGCAATTCAAGAGATCTTAGATAACTGTTTAAAACAGCAGGTCTTGGCACTTCCTCTCTCTACAGATGCACATCCATCCATCTCTAAAATTAACTCTGTTCTTCTTGAGGTAAACAAGGCACGAGGCAGCCTCATTGCACTTTTAGCTGGTGTAAATGAATGTGAAACCTACAGACATCTATCTTGTGTTCTCTCTGGACTCATTGCAGACCTGGATGCGTTAGATGTTTCTGGCCATGTGGAAGTAAGGAACTATAGAAAAGAGGTAGTGGAGGAAATAAACAACTTGTTGAAATATCTGGATCTCGAGGAGGAAGCTTGTTTTACTAGTGCTTATGACCTGGCCAAAAATCAGTCCATTGTTAAAATTGAGTTCATACGTAAAAGATCCACAGAAATAAAAGCCTGTGTTTTAGAGAGAGGGCACAATATGTCTGACATTCATGTGGGAACTAAGTCTGAGCTTCAGGGTCTCATTGCCCAGCTGGATGAAATAAGCGTGGAAAAAAATCCTTGTATACGTGAAGCAAGAAGGAGAGCAGTGGTGGAGATCCAGACTGTTATCAGCTATGTCGACCTCAAGGAAGCTATTGAAAGGAGACACAGTCCCTGTAATCAGGCCAACCCGGAACATCCATCTCATACCACTGTTTGGATGGTTCTTGGGAGTCTCTCGGATCTTCAGAAAGAAGTCCTCTCTTTTGATGGCAACCGAGCAGATAAAAATTACATTCGACTGGAAGAACTTCTCACCAATCAACTCCTTACTCTAGATGCTATTGATTCCCAAGGAGACGACCGCTCAAAAGAGGCAAGAAAACAGGCTGTTAAGTTTGCCAATAATATCCTTAGCTATCTGGACATGAAAAACCGACGAATGGGAGTATTAGATTTCTCTTTAACTAAAATCGCACAAGATTCATGATTGTATGGGAGTGGATTGTGGTCGTTCCTAAGTTTCATCAAGCTTTAAGTTTATCATTTGTACACAGGATGTACGAAATATGTTTTTTTAATTTTCCTCCTCAGATTTTCTTTGTGTTTACATTCCTATGTTAAGAGTCAGAAGTAATAATGCCATATGAAAAATGTTACATCGTGTGACATTATAGGTCATCTTATTGATGTATCAAGAGGTTGGAACTGAAATGATTACTTAGAGCCTGACTTATACCAACTAAAAAAAAAGTCCATGTTGCTAGAAATGTGTTTTCTTAAAGAGACTCAACTCCTAAAATAGATGTGGAAAATATAGTTTTTCCTGCATATAAGACATTTAGTACTTACCTTTCCTGCTGCCTGTGCCACTAATCCCTGTTGTAGTAAAGAGCAACTGCTGGCTGATAAATCGTCAAAGTCCAGCATTTACAGGGGTGTCAATTTCTCAGTTCCCTGCAGTGGTACGTGGTTCATTTTTGCAGGCCCCTACGTCACTGCTATGTCCTGTAGTGACGGATAAGTGGAAGAAACCACAGAGCAGGGCCCGGAAATGAACATTCCCAAAAGTGTCAGATTGTTCATATTTTACAGCTGCCGGTTTCTTTTCACTATAGCAGAAACTGGTGGCACAGGCAGTGGGAGAGGTGAGTATTAACTAACTTTTATATTTTAGCGACAGAATGGCTTTAAAGAAAACCTCTAGTGAGGGGGTATGGGGTCTGCCATTGCTTACATCTCCTTCTGAAATTACTAATACTGTGGCAATTTTTGCTGTTATGCTTATGGCAGTGGTTTCATTTTTGAATTACATTGAGCAAGTATGCATATCGGACGTTTTGACTTCCCGTTGACTTTTCAAATTCACATTTTTATCTTGGTCATTGTCTCAAAGTGCTGCAACCAGAGCCTACCAGGAAGACTGAGATTTTGTCTCAGTACTGGATTTCTTTAAAGCACATTTTGTCACTATTAAAGTTATTGAAATGATGGAAGAATCTAAAAGCAGCCTATAGGTTCCTGCAAAGTTTTCGCTTCTACAATAACACAGAAGGTCCAGAACTGGGAACATTGTTGGCAAATACAGACTTTACAGCCAGTTGATTAAAGTTGGGCCATGGGGGGGGGGGGGGGGGGGGGAGTAGAGATTGTACAGAATCCTGGGTTTAGGGGCTTCAGGGCATTCTGGAGGAAGACTTTCTCTGTGAAAGGTTCGCTTTCATATACCCTGGAAAAATAACAACTGGTTGCTAAAGGCAGAACATTTTCTTTTCATTCATTCCCATTCCTAGTGATCTGTAACACTGAGCAATCAACCATAGTTTACATTATGTATGCTCTTACCAGCTATAGTTTTCCACGTAAAACTGCTGGGGCAACCTGTCAGGGCAGGTCTTTTCAGTATGGCATAATATAAAGTCCCAAGTGTAACACAAATGGGGTAGTTTACTCATGGAGAAACTCGATATAGACCATGGGCATAGGGAGGGAAAAGTTTCCTTTTTTATGCCGAAAGGGTAAAATCCCTTTAAAAAACATATCCAGCTTTATTTAGGAAATACAAGGGCAGTGATGATGTTTACAGTTCAGTAACCTATAGCTACCAATCAGAACTAGCCTCGTATGACTTAACAATATTAAGCAACGTAAGATAATTGCTTTAATTGGAATATTGAACTTTTGTTGAGTAAAAATATGCAATCTCATTCAAACTCAAATTACCCTTTTTCGTGAACTGTATTTTAAGTGATCTTTTCCCTTGCTGTAACTGGGGAAGGGGGGGGGGGGGGGGGGGGGGTAGATAAAATGTGCAAAGCGAGGGACTTTAGTTTTTGGAAAGAAGAAAAGCTGCAAGCCTGATTATTGGAAAAAAATATTATAGCAACTGAAGTCAAATTATATTCTAAACAAAAAAGCAATGTGTCTAGTAGTTTCTAGTCTCATTTAGATGCCTCCAAGGAATTTTTTTCCCTGCCATGTCTCCAGTGCTATATCAGTGCTTCAGTAAGGGCCTGTGTTCACATTTGCTCCAGAACTGCTCTTCCCAAGTTATTGGAAATACAAAAGCATTGCGATGCAGCTTAGAAAGAGATCAAATACAAGTCAAAACTAGGTCAGCTGCAGGTCACATGCTCCCGTAAAGGAATTTAGAAGCGTCTCAAACACAAGCTGAATGCAGCGGACTGCATGTTACATTTGCGCATCTATACAACCATTTCAAAGAGTGACCTGAAAAAACTAGAATTACAATTCCTGGTAATTAATTTTTTGGGAATCCTCCCTATTTGCCCCCTATATTAATCTGAGACTGTTTGAGAAACCACAGGATATATGGTAGAATGTTTTCTTTTATGCTCCTCTTCCTGACTCTTTGTATTGCCAGGGACAACCCTTAAAGTGATACTAAACCTAAAAATATTTTTTACCTTAATGCAGTCCTTATAATAGTGTAAAAATCCTTTTCAGTTTCTCTGTCCTCCTCCTTCCTTGTGTAAAGGGGAAGAGAGGGGAGAATATTTTTATTATTATATAGGATTTATATAGCGCCAACAGTTTACAATGTGCGGGCAAACAGTACAGTTCCAATACAACTGAATACAGGAGGAATCAGAGGGCCCTGCTCGTTAGAGCTTACAATCTACAAAGGAATTGATCCAGCGCTGTACACGGCTGCATCTCTTCTCCCCTCTCTTCCTCTTCACACAGCACTGGAACAGCAGCAGGAGCCATTGGTTCTTGCTGCTGTCAATCAAATGCAGTGAAGAGGAAGTGGGTTGGGCAAAGTCCCACTGTGTGTGTCTATGGATCACATTTCCATAGATACACAGGTCAGGAGCGCGCAGATACTGTGTGCTTCCATAGCATCCATTTGCTATGGGGGACACACGAAGAAGAGGAGGAGCCAAGATTTCCGGTTGGGGACCTGAGAAGAGGATCGGGGGCGCTCTGTGCAATACCATTGCACAGAGAAAGTGAGTATGACATGTTTGTTATTTTAATTAAAAAATTGAGAGTTTAGTAACACTTTAAGTCGTGTTGTCATTTTAAGTCGTGTTCTAGGCATTTGACGTGTTGTCAAATGCCTAGAACAAAAGGCTTAATTTTTGTGTCTGCATGCCTTTTACAAAAAGTGCAGAAGTGCTTTAACCGCTTCCAGACCGCCCTATAGCAAATATACTGTTACAGGGCGGCAGGTGTGTGCAAAATTACGTGTATATATACGTGATTTTGTATTTCCTGGTAGGGGGCGCGTGCCCTACCCGTGCCACCATTCGTAGCCACGGCTGTCAATCACAGGGTCCCGGCTGGTGATTACCCGCCAGCGTCCAGTGATTACCGAGGATCTCCGACAGGAAGGAGGGCTGCTTTGTTTGCTAATAGTCATCCTCCCTGCTGGCTCGGGCACACTGCTCTGGATGGCTGTGCACAGTACAGCCATCCAGAGCAGTGTGCTTACAGTGAAGCACCAACACACCGCCCCCTAGTAAAACACTCCCAGCACACAGTTAACCCTTTGATCGCCCCTCATGTTAATCCCTTCCTGCCCAGTGCTTTTTTTTTTTTTTTTTAAGCACTGATCACTGTATTGGTGTCACTGGGGATGTCAGTGACACCAGGTTTATTCTCCTCAGTGTCAGAGTGCTTACTGCAGTCCTGCTATAGGACGCTGATCGCCACCATTACTAGTATAAAAAAAAAAAAAATTCCAGTATATAAACCACCATTTGTAAACGCTATAACTTTCACGTAAACCAATTAATTTACATCTATTGGGATTTTTTTTTTTAGCAAAGACAAGTAGCAGAATATATTTTGGCCTAAATTTATCACAAAATTTGATTTTTTTTTTAAATTTTGCTGGACATGTTTAATAGCAAAAAGTAAATTTTTTTTTTTTTTTTTTTTTTTTTTTTTCCTCAAAATTGTCAGTTTTTTTTTATAGCGCAAAACATAAAAAAACACACAGTCAACCAAATACCACCAAAAGAAAGCTCATGGGGAAAAAAAGGATGTAAATTTCATTTGGGTGCAGCGTTGCATGACTGCGCAATTGTCAGTTAAAGTAACGCAGCGCTGTATTGCAAAACATGGCCTGGTCAGGAAGGGGAGTAAATCCTCAGGAGGGCAAGTGGTTAATGCAATCACAAAGCCTATTTTGATTAGCATTCACTATACTTAGCAAAGTTTTGATTGGTTGCTTTCTGAGATGCAGCATCTTCATTTTTTGCATTTGGCCTTTGTTCATTAAATGGCACATTATTCTTTTTAGCACAGTGACTGCTTTACATTAAAGCATGGATGTGACTGGAGGAGTAGTTGAGTAAATACATTTTCTTCCTTCTAAATCTTGATTAGTAATACATAGAATATGCATACAGAAACATTAAATACCAGATTACTAAAATGATCTATAGATTCTCTTCGCTTAAAAAGGCTGTCCTTACTCCATAGAATAAACATTTGGGAAGTTCAGAAACCCAGATTAGCGTAATTTTTGTGTTTAAAATGGGCATTCCTCTGGACCACACCTCCCTTCCCTTTGTACTTGCCTTTCTCCTATTGAGAGAGAAGTCTGGGTGATTTCATCTCTTGGATTCCTGACATTTGGCTTCCATGAGAAGGAGCCTATAGGGTACCCTGAATCACTACGATGCACTTATGTAGAACTAGTGGGGTGTTGAGCAGACCAGTCACCCAGCACACCGATGGCTACCTGGAATGACCAGTCTCTTCAGCAGGAAATGCACCATTATCAGGCAGTTTTCCTAATAAATTAATTCAGGAATAAAAATGGTACAACTTGTGGAGCAAGGCCAGTAGTAAACCGAAGACATTTGCTTTCAGCCAAAAAATAAAATCAGCACAAACCGCTTTAAAAAAGGAAGTTACCAGAGTGTATGTTATCAAGTTCACAACACTACACACGTCAGTAGGTATTCCATGACGTATAAACAGCAGCTTCGTGAATTTCCGTTTAAATTAAAGTTT